AAGGCTGAGATCTTATCTCTTCTGGTATTACCACGGGCTTGTAGAGCTTCTGCATATTCAAAAAAAAAGGGAAAAATTCTTAAATACCCTCTTGCTTTAACAGATACCTAATATACACACAGCAGTCAGAACAATGGAGACAGTAGCGGAATTATTTACATCAAGAATAAATTAGAGGTTCAGTTACTGAAAACAGTACTCTGGTTAACTCAGTTACATTCTCTGTAAACATATCTCCAGACTCTGCTTTAGTTTGCAGAATTCTAATTATTAAAGCAGAACTGAAATCCAAGCATTTCAGAAGAAGCATTGCCACCTGCTGCATGACTGAGGAACAAGAGCTGCTCTGGCTTCTAAGGGGCCATTCACAAAACCAGCGCGCTTTCACAGAGGCACAAACTCCAACAAAGGGTACATTAAGACAAAAAGCTAAGAAAAAGAAAACTACTTAAATGACTTCATTCTAGCCCTGCAATTACTTATGCAAAAGTAAGAACACTGTGCTTCACAAACTGTGAGTCTTGTGACTTGACAGCAGTTAATTGAGACGTGAAGTAAACTAATAATAAATGAACGCAACCAATATTTAGCTATATTAAAGGTGGAATTAGAACTAACTAACAGAAAAGAAGGAAAAAATACCAAAGATGTGGGAACACAAGTTATATCATCAGCAAGTTAGTATTCTCCAGTTCAGGAGCTGTCCCTCAACCTTCTTCAAGCAAAAACAATTCCTCCTTGTAGTTTTCCCAGAGAAATTTTTTCACAGTTCACACATCTTTTCAGCAGAAGAACAAACATTGCTTGCATTAGCCTCAAACACTAGAGAACACATTGACTGAAAACCCACAGGGTGATTTCTTGCTTTGGCAATTACATGGAGATCACCACCATAAATTAGTAGTTCCCTCCAGATAAACCACGTCTTCATAGTTGCTCTTTATGCCTCAGAAAACACGCACCACAGGGTTAGCCAGGGTCAAGAAAGAACACAAAACATCCTCAACCAAAAGCAGAGAAATCACTAGTACCTTCATAGAAGTAGCTCTGAGAGGAAAAAAAAGACACTTCATTTACAGAGACAGACTAAACTTTCTCTATTTCTATACATACTTACAGAGAGATAACTAAACTTTCTATATTTGCAGCCACTTTTAATTGAAATAATCTAGCTGTAGAGTGATGTAAACTTTGAAGAGATCAGCAAGAGTAAAAGGGTAGCATGAGAGGCATTCTAAATAACTAATACACTGTGGAACTCAAGTAGCACATAGCTTTCCTTCTGCAGAAAGGATAAATTGCCTTGCTAAATCTTGATGTTCTGTAATAGCACGTTTTATTTGAGCTGACTTCGTTTGTTTAACACACTTGATATAATGACAAAACAGAGATTTTCTAACATATACTGCCTTTTATGATATCTCAGGTTTAAGACAAATATGTACCTATGCCCTTTTCCTTACTGTAAATCATCTCTGCCTGGCTAACTAGAGAGTCAATGTTTGTTGGTTTTAGTCCTCAGAAATGCAATGCAGGCTCTTAACTTTGGAAAAGCATCCCCATCTTCTTTAGTGCAGAATAACTGAAGTTGGAAAGGGCCTCTAAACACCCTACAGAAAGTAGGGCCAACTGGTGCAGGTTGCTCAGAGCCTGAATCTCTCCAAGGATGAAGACTCCACAGTTTCACTGGGCAACTTGTGCCAGTATTTGCCTCTCGTCCCTTTTTTTTTTTTGCCAAAGGAATCCTAATCAATCAGGAGGTAAGCAAATGGTAGGCCTAATGTAACTGCAGGGAAGAAATCTAGCAATCAAAGACAGGACTGGGTTGTTTAATGTCAGTAATAACTTTACACTGAGTGTCAAAATGTTACAATGTAGCAAAAAGCACTTAAGAAGTCACAGACATTCTTTTTAGCCAGGGTATACTGTGCATGATACTATTTATCTGTATGTAGTGTAACATTTGGCACTTCAACCAGCCTTTGGGCAAGGACTTCAGAAACATGTGACAATAAGTGCATACTGGCTTGTAAATCATGAGGCACCAGATTGTTTCACTCTGCTTAAGTAACTGGCTGAACTGTGCCGCAGACCCAATTCACTCATAGCTTTGTAGTAATCCTCATTTTACTGAAGAACCAATTAATGCAACAAACCCATTTAATTATGTGACAAATAACCGAAAGCAACCATGGGAAGGAGCTTAAAGGTCAATATTAGATGATTTATTTCTTCAAGTTACACATGGTCAGCAGCTACTATATGCAAAGTTTTTCTGAAAATTTTAGGTTACTCACCAACATCTCTTGCTCAGCTTTCATGGTTTGGATAGCATGCACCAGTATCTTTTTAGGCCACTGTTTACGCTTTGTTGCTGTCTCTACTATTAGTTCATCAAACTGATCTTCGAGAATTTTAATGTTGGAACCTAAAAATGACAAACACACAAAGTTGTTGCAGGGAATTCTCCTACAATTTTTTTTGAGACTAATTTGTAGGAAAAAAAATTATATCTGAAATAAAATAATCATGCATTATTATCAACAAAGAGATGCATTATGTCTGGAATCTCCTTGTTAAGGGAATACAGAAATTGGAGCATAACTTGATGCTGGCCAGTTATTTTGAAGTAAATGAGCTGCGGGCATGAAGGGGGAGAATCATCAGGGCAAAAATAAAAAATGTATTTCTCTATGAACTCTGAATCTATGAAGAAAGTCTTAAAAAGAAATAGCTGTCTTTTGAGATCACATGTTTTTCAACTGAAGAAAAGCAGTGCAAGATGCAGAAAGAAAAATGCTTTATCTGTATGATCTACAAGTATTAAACAAACTCCAACTGTACAAGCAGTAATTTGAAGCCTGACTGATTTTATACCACACAGAGCACAAACATACAGTTCAACGTGACAAAATACAATGCCACCTTAATGAAACACACTTCCTGGAAATACTCTACATCCTGACAACATCTACAATTTCTAGTCACAACGAATTTGCAAAATATATACGTGCCTGCTTTAAACACCTGAGGACCAAGAGAAAACATAGTAGGAGCTACCTTTCATAGCTCTATTTTCCAATGTCAGGGTCAGACTAAACACCTAAAACATATTTTCAGCTGTGAACTAGTATTTTTATTACTGCTACTCTACTAAAGGGACTTAACTTCTCCAAGATTTCAAATTAAACTTAACAATTTTAAAACCTTAAGATACTATTTTAAAACTAGTCTCAAAATTTAGACAAGTAAACGCCTGCACTTTCCTGACATCACACATCATTGTTACAAACTGCAAAAAATAAGTTATAGAAGAAAGCAGAATGAACTCTCAGGGTCACTCCATGCAGAATAAGGTCGTTGCAAACCTCTGAAAGGCAAAATCAAGGTTTCAAGAGTTTATGGGTTTGTTTTGGTTGTTTGCTCAAGGATCACCATGAAATCATTTAAGTATAAATAGAAAAGACTTGAGCCACTGGCTAATGTAAACATGGAAGGCACAAAATGTCAGATCTCTTGGTGATTCAAACCACATCGGAGATAGGCACACAAGTAAATTTTTGCCAAATTAAAAAGCACAACATAGTCCTTACATCTGTTTTATGCCAGCTGCAGGCAGATGACAGTACCTCGGTTTAGCACTTTGCATCATGAGACCAGTGCATTTTTGACCTTGTAGTCAAAGGAGTTGGAGTTCTGTCATTCTAGAACAACAACTGCAAAAGCTTCATAGAGTCAGAGAATGGGCTGGAAGGGACTTTTAACGGTTATCTAGTCCAAGCCCCTTGCAATGAGCAGGGACATCAACTAGATCAGGTTGCTCAGAGCCCAGGTTTGCTCAAAGCTTCCTCACTAAAAACCAGTTCAGGGAGCTCTTTCTCCATAGTTAGTTCACTATATCTGTATTTTTAGCTTTATGCAACTAAAAAAAGCATCAAGTTGCAGGTAAAGGACACCTCATACCAACACAGGTGAGCAAATGAACCACACTGAAACTTTATTTGGACACCAGACTACCAAGAATCTCCACTAATATTATTTAAAAGACAATCATTACAATCACACTGTGCACATTATGTATGTTTATATATTATTACACATCAATAATTTTCAACACTTAATTTGTATATTAAATAGCAGCAACAGACAATCTCTTAGGGTCGCTTGATAGGAAGGTATCTTGGACAATGCCCCAAACACTCAGGGCTGGAAGGGCCCTCAGCAGGTGACTCAAACCTCCTGCTCACAGTAGGGTCAACACCCAGTTCAAACCAGGTTGACTGGTCCAGTTGATTTTTGGAAGCCTTCTGTGCTGGAGACTACACAACCTCCCTGGGCAGCCTTTTCCAAGGCCCAATTAACCCAATAGCGAATTTTTACTTCCGTACATTAAGGCAGAACCTCCCCCTTCAACCCCACCCTTTGCCTCTGGGCAAAACCAAACCGAACCAAAACAAACCCGCCCGGCAGGAAATCAATGGAAACCAGCGCGTACCGCTCGGCGGGCTGGGGTCATCCGTGGCCTCCTCCCAGGGCTGCCCGTTAATGGTCACGTTCTCCCGCAGCGCCGTCTCGAAGTTCTGCAAGACACGGGAGAGGCTGGAATCCATCCCTCAATCCCTCCATCCCTCCCTCGGGAAGGCGGGAAGGGCCACCTCGGGGTGAACACCCGAACACCTCCCCCGCCCCGCTGGCTGAGGGCCGGCCCCAGGGCCACTCTGTGCCGGAACCGGCCGAGCCCGCTCCCCGCTCACCCAGAGTGCGTCTCCCTCGGCGGCGGCCCCGCCGGGCTGTCCCTCCAGCACGGCCCGCACCAAGGGCGCGCACAGCTCCATCACGTCGCGCAGCCTGCGCTGCGAGCAGCACCGCACCCGCCGGTCCCGCTGCGCCGCCACCGCCCCCTCTACATCCATACCCGGCCCCGGCCCCGGCCCAGGCGGCGCCGCCATTTCCCGCCGGGGACGCGGGGAAAATGCCGGCCCGGAAGCGGAACCCGCGGCCGCCCCGGCGCTCCCCCCGGGGCGCGGCATGGCGGGGCCGGTGGACTGTCACTGCCACCTCGCCGCGCCCTGCTTCCACACGGTGAGGCGCGGCGGCCGGGCGGGGCTGGGGGTGGCGGTGGGTGGGTTGGTGGGTGTGCGGGCCGGGGGCTGAGACGCTGCGTGTCTCCTGCAGGACGTGGCGACCGTGGTGCGGGCGGCGGAGCAGGTGAGGCGGCCGGCGGGGACCCCCTGCCCGCTCCCCCGTGGCCCCGCCGCCCGGGGCGTCTCAGCAGGCCGGGGGTCTCTGTGTGCCGTAGGCGGCCGTGTCGGCGCTGGTGGTGGTGTCGGAGCAGGCGGGCGAGTTCCGGAGCGTCGTGGAGCTGTCGGAGAGGTGCGAGGTCGGCTGGGGGGTCCCGGCGCCCACCCGTGTCCCGGGCGCGGTGTCCGCGCCTCGGCGGGAGGTGACAGGGGACGCGCTGCTCTCCTCCTCCTCCATCAGGCCAGCCCTTCTTGGCTTTAAACTTGGGTTCTCTGGGGTTTCTTGGGCTTAAACTTGGGTTCTCTGGGGTCTCTCACACTGCCGATCCCTGTTCCGTGTCTAGGTTCTCAGGATTTGTTTTGCCATGCCTGGGCGTTCATCCCGTTCAAGAAGTTTCTCCAGAGGAGCAGCGCAGTGTTACTTTGAAGGTAAAACACAGGCTATAAAATACGGCTGGGACTTTTCAGGACAGACGACAGGATGCTCCAGTCTGCCTGATTTACCTTCAGTTCTGCCCAGTGATTTTTCTGCTCCCTGTGATGCAGGAGACCCAGTGGACTAAACCCCAGGTTTGTCCATATTAGTCCTAAAGCAGAATTGTTCACTGGAGTCATCTGGCCCTATTACTGCAGTGAAACGGTTTAAAAAATCCCGAGTGAGTGCTTTGCTTACAGCGAACAGCATTTGCAGATGTCCCTTTGTTAACATGGGAACTGGAAGGCTACTGTTTGTTACCTTAGCCTGAAAAACTCAGGGAGCTGTTTGGCTGTTTGCAGCCATGTAATCTTATCGGATTGCTTATGGGCCTTGTTTTAATTACCTCTCCTGCTACTGCGAAAAGATAGCTAGAAATTAGGGGTATTTCAAATAAATGTTACATACCTATATGGCGAAAGGGTTATTAAGTAAAGAAGTCAAATCCTGAAGGTTTCTAAAATCTGACTGCACAACTTGCAATAACAGCAAGTTCTAAAGTACAGAATTTAAGAACAATGAAGAACAGTTTAATCATCATGCTGAGTTCATAACCCTTCCCCCTTGTAAAGGCATCTTTAACTTGTTCCCGCAGGATCTGGATGCTGCACTGCCACTTATAGAACTCTACAAAGACAAATTGGTGGGGATCGGAGAAGTGAGTAGAATTCCACAACTTGTTTAAACCTCTTCAGCAGCAGCTGTCACCAGAATTACAAAAACTTATCGAATGCTTGGTTTTGTGTATGCTAGTATAAGTATTGCTTTCAGTCTGAACAAGCACTAAGTCTGATTTGTAATTCTCTTAATGTGCTTTCCTCCATAGATTTGCCTGATTCCCTCCTTTCCTTCCTTGTTATTATTAGAAAATAGATGGAATTTATGTTGGTGGAGTAGTAGAAAGATTGCATAATTATGTTGTATCGTCTTACACCTGAAGGCAGAGCCTTCCTGCCTTCTTCCCTGACAAAGTTAGGCTAAGCTGTGATTTCAGTACACCTCACTGACTTGTACAGTTCTTTTTTTTGATCCCTCATCTATTTGTATCCACGTATTGTCCCCTGTCTAACATTTGTTTATAAAGGAATTGAAGCTTGAAAGCTTTAGGGTAGACTGCATTTGTTTGTGTGTTGGTACTGGAGGGACTTATATCTGGTTCTGCAGTGGCTGCAGAAAAAGCAGTTGTTGGCAGAGCTTTGTAGCTGAATTTGCCATGTTGTACTATATATAAAAGACTTTGGTTGGTGTAATTGAATGGGACTGCTTTGACAGACTTTAAATTTTGCCTGAACGTGTTTAGATCAAAAAAGTATAGAAGTAATGGGTTATTTTTGCTAGAGTTTGGACTAAAGCTATGGATTCAAGTCAGAAATTTTACTTATACTGGAGATCCAGATTTGAGACTTATTCTGAAATAATATTCAATAGAATATAAACCCCCAGAAAACCAGTTGCAGATTAAAGTGTTAAATACCCTTGTTAGTAACTATCTGCCCACAAATGCTTTCGCAGTTGGAAGAGCTTATGGTTGAGAATGGATTTTTTTCTGAGTTAAGCTACAGTTGAGCTTGTTTTAATTTCAGTCTCTAGTATACATACTTTGAAATGCTTTGCAATTTTGAAGCATTTTTTGCTTTTATATGTGAAATAATGGGTTTGTTAAGTGTTAGGTCTGTAAAATTTTTTTCCCTTCTCCTCTTGTACTGTAGGTTGGACTAGATTTCACTCCCAGATTTGCCAGCACCGATGAACAGAAGGAAGGACAAAGACAGGTTTTGATCAAGCAGATCGAGTTGGCAAGAAGACTGGATTTGCCTTTGTAGGTTTTATTTATAATAGTAGGAGAATTTGCTAGATCTCATTAAAATGTGGAAATATTTCCCAAGATTTATAGTTACTAAATGCCCACAGAACTTTTCTTAGATGGATTAAACTGGCATTAGTGTCCAGTCAATCTCCAGTTTAAGATTTAATTATAGAATTTTCCCTGTGTTTGCACTTCAATACTGTCGCCTTCTGTTTCCTGTCCTTGCTATGTTTTCCCTATATCTTCACTAGCTACAATGATTCATACATATATCTCCGGTTTTTTTCCTGATAAAAGGTGTAATACAGATTAATTACTTCCGTGCCAAGGTGCTGTTAGTTTGTTCATGTTTGCAAAAAAAAAAAAGTATTTGGCTGAATTTCCTAATGCCAGGCCTCTCCTTGCTGTGCAGAAATGTTCACTCCCGCTCAGCTGGAAGACCAACCATTAATCTCTTGAAGGAACAAGGTATGCTTTTAATGCATTTTCTCTGTCACAGCTTTTGTCAACAGAATTTCTTCAGCTGTGCCATGTCCTCACTTCAATTTGTGTGCAATAGTGCAGATATTCTGTATACAATCTTTGTGGGACCAAGGTCCCACTGGAAGCTGACATAGCAGCCCTGCTCTGTAACCCTGCTGATCATTTGTTTTGCTTCGTTTCTCCAAGGTGCTACAAAGGTGTTGCTCCATGCGTTTGATGGGAAGCCATCTGTAGCGATGGAAGGGGTGAAAGCTGGATACTTCTTCTCCATTCCTCCTTCCATTATAAGGAGTGAACAGGTAACATTTTGTCCTGATTGCAGCTGGGGTCTGCTCCTTCTCAGTGCCTGGGAATTGGAGGTAGTAGCTGACAGCTTATCATGATGGCTGATGAGACCAGGTGCCTGCATACAGTTACTGTAACCTGACACTTCTCAGGAGAAGTTTCAGTTGCTATAGCATTGCACATTTTTACTTTGGCTGAATTTCTGTCTGGGACTTTTGCCTTAGCTAGGCTTCTGAGGGGAAATTTTGGCTAAAAGAACTCAGCTGTTCCTGAGAAACAAGGGGGTTTTTTCTTCTCATTTAATGTGGTTTCTGGTGAACTCTTCTTTGGCAGCTTCTGTCACTGTACTGTTTTAGAGTAGGGACATGACACATGGAAAACAACTAGTTTCTGTCTCAGAGCTGTGGCACTTTCTGTTCTAAATGAAATCCATTCACAATTGGCTAAGTTGCAGACTTATGAAGAATTCTGATTATCACAAGTAAAGAAGCAGCTAAATTGCTTAAAGATGGCATTGTTCAGATTCAGTGCTTTATATGGTGAGACTGCTCTTTTAATTTCTATTCTGGGCTGCTACAAACTTTGCTAACCTCTTATTTTGGGGTGGCAGTCTGTTTCCATCCTGCACAATCATCACTTTCTGTCATAAGCTCAGGAAATGTAGGAAAGGAAAAGGCTTCATTCAAGTGGGGGAGGTATGAGGGATGGATATAGATGGGGGTGAGGTTGGGAACTTGGAGGAAGGAAAGCAAAGGTACACACATATATACACAGAGAATAGCAAAATTGCATTGGTAGCTCTAAATGCAGTGTGTTTACTGCAATATAACTGCATTATTATATAACTGCATGATTTAATAAGTAACAATGGATTCAGTGTTGAGATAACAGTACTTCAGATATTTAGGAAACAGGAGAATCCTAATTTGAAGGGACTTCTTGAGCAGCTCCTGGTATTCTTGCTTCCATTCAGAAATTGTTGCTAAAGTGCAGGCAGTGGCACTGAAGTCTTTTGATGTTGCTGTTAAATGCAGGAGATGTCCTCCTTTCATAATTTTTCCCACAGGTTTAAGTACATAAAGTAATTAATAGCTGTCTTATTTTCTTCAAGAAGCAGAAGCTTGTGAAACAGCTACCTCTGGAAAATATGTGCTTGGAAACTGACTCTCCTGCTCTGGGGCCTGAAAAACAGGTAAATGATGAGGGGGGAAGGACTTCTGTGTACGTATATCCAAACCCACACCTCATGGAGGTCAGTTACTGGTACAGGAGAGTGAAGTAGTGTAAGCATGGATACAAGAGGTGAAAGAGTTTACCAAGGGAATGTAATCAAGAAGAACAGATTCGTGTAATTTTTCTGGAACTCATGCCACAATGTGACTGAAGTTGTGTCAGGAAGTACTGACTCTGA